CTCTTTACAAAGCGATTCGTGCGTCCTTTTTCTGCGTATTATTCCATAACGTTTCTTTCTCTTTTAGCCGAAAGAGTCGTTGCTCTATTTTTCCGTTCTGCATTGTTTTCTCTAATTCTATTTATAATTATTTCTGTTTTTTTCCAATTGCTTTATTACTAATTTTTTATCGTTTTACATGGATATAAAATTGATTTCATTGTAATCGTAACATTCGATTCATAGAAATATCGTATGACTTTAAAAATTGTTTATATTGAAAATTAATAAAAAAATATATGTATATATATACATTTATTATGTATATATATTTTTATTATTATATATATATATTTTATAATAAAAAAATGTTTATATTAAAAAAATAATATGAATAATTATATTTAAATCATATTTTAAATCACTTGTTACTATTTTCAAATATTTTTATCATTTATAACAAATTCGATATAAACTGTACATATACGTGAGAATGATAATTTTTTTCATTTCTAGCTGCATCGCGTTTGTTGCATATGTACCAGAATAGTCGGCGGACCAGTCTCTATCTTTTTCTGTTTCATTCCCATGTCCGACCTCGAGAGGAATCGGCGTAAGGTTTCTTTCTCTTCGTCACACGTGCCATAATACATTCGTGTTCTTTGTTCACCAATCGTTTCTCCTCGTTGTTCTGGCTAACGCGTTTCTTTTCGCTCTGGCGTTTTATTCTCCGTCGCAGATGCTCGCCAGTGCCGACAACCTCCCCCATCCCAGTCGCCACGCGAGGATAATCGAGTCAAGCTGATGAACACTGAGTTTCGCTTGTTTACCGAAATCATTTCTTTATCGCTGACCCTGATTACTAATTTTTATCGCAATTATATGACTTTTAAAAGTTTTTTATTAATAAAATAATCGTTTTGCTTGTTTCGTGAATGTATAGAAGAAAAATGTAATCTTTGTTCGTAGTTTATTTATATTTTATATTTTCAATAATCCAATAAAATTATAATTTTGATATAGTGTATAGTTTTGATATATTACTTTGAGTCACGGATAGTTTCGAGTTTCTCGTGAACAGCAAACCGTATCATTTAGCGTCACCGTTCTACCAGTGAAAATGCATTAACTGGTAGTAGCTGCCAACATTGCGGCAAAGTGAAACCCCTCGTCACGGTATAGCTACCTTAAAGCGAGCTAAGTTGAAATAGTATAACAATTACTGGCCCTGAAAACATATATATATATATATATATATATATAATTCGAATACATACAAAAATTTAGCTATAGTTCTTTTTTATTTTGTCACTTATTCTTTTATAAATCAACTTTTTGAATCTCATAATCATATTATTATTAAACAAAATGTTGTTTATTTTTTGCTTTTTTTTGTAGAATATACTTACATAGAAAAAAGTAACAAATGAAAAATAAGTTATACGATCGTATGTATAATTATTATTGCACAATCGGTAATATTCTTTGTATAATTCTACTTTACCCGATGAGTAGAATGCGTATATGAATTTGTGTATCGAGCTTAGTCTTCTATTCGTATTCAGTTTATACATATGCTATTCTTAATATATATTCATGTATACTTTGAATTCCACAATTATGTTCCATTTAGTCCGGTTTTATCTCACTTCGTTAAAAACATCGTGTCAAAAATAAAAAAAACTTTGAATGGAAAAGGAAATAAAAATTATTTGAATTTCATTTTATGTGATTTAAACATAAACGAATAGTTGTTGGAAAATGAACAATAAGTAGATATT